ATTTAGGCGATTTAAGGATATACTATGGACATCTAGATAAAATAAAGATTAAAGTTAATAATAATATTTATTTTCTAATCCCCTTTCAATATATTCTATAAACAAGGATTATTTATTTCAGAGAATATTTTAATTTTACTGAATTTTACAAAGTCCCGATATTTAAAAATTTCATTGACTTTGTTTAAGTAATTGATCTTTTTTTTTGGGTTTCGAAAATAAAAAATTCGGAATTTGAATAATTCTTGATAGGTTTTCTTTAACTGCAATATTTTTAGATTCATTCGAGATCCATACGTCTGCAGACCCTGCTACTGCGGTCACAGTGGTTCTAAATTCGAATGAATTTGTGAGGGTGAAGAAGACCCAGAACGTGGATTGTTTGCAGGAAAATGTTATTGCAAAAGCAATGTTGATGGGCCAAAGTAATTTTAAAAATATTGAGAAAACAACAAATTTTCTTAATTATCTTAAGTTGTGATCGATGTAAAAATGGATTTTGGGAAATGAGAAAAGAAGATCCTGATGGTTGTCGGCCATGTTCTTGGAATCTAATTGGGACTTATGGGAATGAAGGTTGGGACAAAGTGACAGGAAAATGTACATGTAAAGCTCTTGTAATGGAAGAACAATGTGATCATTGTCTTCAAGAACATTATGGACCAAGTGTTGACGATCCTAATGGATGCAAGACTTGGTAAAAAATTTTATATTTGGCTTTATTTTTTTTTTGTAAAATTTTTATGAAACATATCCATAATGTTGGATTTTTTTAAAATTTAATTATGAATTTAATTAAAATTTTTGATTTAAATATATTTTATAAATTCGACTAATTTTTTAAATATTTTTCTAGTGATTGCGATCCTGGTGGCGCTTATGACAATCACTGCGATAGTGCTGAGGGTATGTGCCGTTGCAGACCAAATTATATTGGGAGGAAAATGGATATTGCTGGCCATGCATCGATAAATATACAGTTGAAGTAATTTTTAAAAATTTTTTAAAAATTAAATAGTTTTGATCTTTCAAAAAAGTTGACTTTTTGGGTTGGTTTTTGCTCCTTTTTTCTCTTTCCGGTCAACCTTTTGTAAAAAAGATTGTGTGAAGTACAAGTTACTTCCGACTATAAAAAATTGATGGAAATTTAAAAACAATTAAGTTTATAATATAAAAAGACCTAAAAACTTTTTTTCTCAGTCGGGTCAAACTTTACAAAATTTCCGAGTAGATGGGCGGGTTGTGCAAGGAGCAAAAATGAACCCCTTCTTATTTCATTAATTCATTACTTCATTTTATAAATTTTATTTATTTTTTTTTGTAAATATTTTATAAAATTAAAGTTTATTATCTCCCACCGTTTTCAATTTAATTTATGAAAATAATTTTTTAATATTCACTTTAATTTTTTAGTTAATAATGAGTTCCAATCGACGACGACCAGCTAGTAATTCTTCTGATGCGCCACCTACTAATAGAGCTCGGATCGACAATGGGCTTAATATTCTACCAGCTGCAAATAATAACATTAACAACAACAACTTTCCAAACAACTTACCAAACAACAATAACAACTTACTAAACAACAACAATAACTTACCAAACAACAATATTGATGTAATTTTTACAAATAATTAAATTAATTTTGTTATTAAAAATTTAATTTTTAATAAAAATTCTTTTTATGTGTAATAAAAAATTTTTTATTTCTATAAAGGTGGAAGCAATAATAGCCGCTGAAAGGGCACGTGCTAATATTATTGAAATGCCGCCTGCGGCTATGCTTCTACCACTCATAGATATCCGCAATCGCCTGACATCTTCCAATTATGCCTTTGCAGGGTGGCGCACAAATCACGTGTTTAAGTAATTTTTTGTGTAGAAAATTAAAAATTTAATTTAAAAATTTTAGTTCTCTGACTGGGGTTGTTCAATTTGTACATCGTGGTGCAACTCTTAGACGCAGCTTTGATCGGTGTGACGTTCGTGTTAGTTTTGGCTTTGGCACTGATACTCAGACTGTTGGCATATATGCTTATGATCAATGCGCTGCTATTCTTGAGACTGCCCGGGTTAATGAGGTAATTTAAAAATTTTTTATTTGAGATGATTTTTTTATAAAGATCTGCACATTTACCGCACTTACGGTGGTGGAACAAGGGGACAATAGAGGACGGTGGACGGGCACCGTACCTTTTGTTTTGCGATTTACACGTGCGTCAGCATTTGCTATTACTGGGCCAAACAACAACAACAACGTAAATAACAACAATAATAATTTGCAGCAAGCTCCCGCTGATAACAACAACAACATTCCTATTGGTAATAAGAATAATAATAATAATCTAAAAAAAAATATATTCGGTTAATTTTTAGTTGGAAATGTGGCCAATCACAGAGAGATGCAGGGAACAAATGGCGGCACGGCAAACAATGTACTTCCTATTGGTAATAATAATAATAGGAAAAAAATATTTCGTTTAATTTTTATTAGGAAATATGGCCATGCAAAGAGAGATGCAGGGGCCAAGCAGCAGCAGCAGCTCATCAAACAACGTTATTGCCGCACCAACTCCTCGTGTCTCGACAACTGCACGTGCAAATCGTGAGCGTGCTACGGATCAACGAGGGGTAGATATTTTAGAAAAATTATTCAATATATAGATATAAAATTTTTTAAAATTATTTAAAATTTTCGAATAATAGTAATACATATAATAATGTTAAATTTTTACTAAATTCTTTTAAGTAATTTATATTTTCTTTTAAGTAATTAAATGAATAGATTTGATGTGGAGAATTAAAAAAAATAATTTGGATTTTCTTTTAAGTAATTTTCTAAGTTAAATAATTTTCACTTAATTAAAAATGTTTTATTCTAAATTCAATAATTTAGTTAGTAATAAAAATTTTTTTATACATTTTATTTGTATTAATCAAATTAACTGAGCTTTGTCAAAAGAATTAATTTTTGAATATTTTCATGATTTAAAAAAATTCATATATTTTTCGAAAAAATCAGTTTTCAAATGTAAAAAAAAAAATAAAAATTTTTTTGACAACTTCAAGTTTTCTATTTTCTAAATTTAATTAACCTTGTTAAATTTTTTAATAAATAAAATTCATATATTTTTTAGATAAAATAAGAAAAAATGTTATTAATCTCTCTTGCAATATATTTTTTTTGAAAAAAATATTTGTTTTTTAAATTTTATTAATTAATTAAATTTTATTAAAAAATTATTTATGTTTTTTTGATAAATTCAATTTATAAATGTTTGAATTTCTATTTTTAAATTTGACTAATTTTGTTATATTATTTATTAAATAAAATTTATATGTCATTGATAAAGTTAAATTTTTTTATTTAATCCCAGATTTAAAATATTTTTTGAAAAATTTTTTTGTAAATTTTACATAATTAATTAAAAAATTTTTTTTAATTAATAGTGTTTTTGACAATTTCAATTTCTAAATGTTAAGAATTTCTATTTTGGAAACGGATATAAATTTTTTTATTTAATCTCAGATGTAATAATATTTTTTTGAAAAAAATTGTTTTTAAAATATTATCTAATTAATTAAATTAAAATTTTTTGAAAAAAATTGTTTTTTAATTTTGTATAATTAATTTCAATTTTTTTAGATTAATCGTGTTTGTTGACATTGCAATTTATAAAAGTTGGAAATTTCTAGTTTTAAATGGAATTAATAATTTTTTATTAAATAAAATTCATGTCTTTGATAAAATTAAAATTTTCTTTTAATCAGGTGTAATATTTTTTGAAAAAAATATTTATTTTTAAAATATCATCTAATTCATTTAAAAATTGGAAAAATTGGTTTTTTTAAATTTTATCTAATTAATTTAATTTTTTTAAATAATGTTTTTTGACAATTACAATTTATAAATGGTGTGAATTTCTATTTTTAAATTTAATTGAATTTGCTATTTTTCTTTGATAAAATTAAAAAATTATTTTTATCTCTGATGTAATAATATTTTTTTGAAAAAAAATATGTTTGTTAAATATTATCTAATTAAGTTAAAATAATTAAGAATGAAATGTTTTTTTAAATTTAATTTATTTAAATTAAGGCTTGTCAATTTTAATTCATAGATGTTGAAAATTTTTTTATTTTTAAAATTATTAAATAAAATTGAAATAATTCTTGATAAAATTTAAAAAATTATTTAATTTCTGATGAAATAATATATACGTATATATTTTGAAAAAAGTGTTTTTTAATTTTTAATCAATTTAATAATTGTGTAAGGGTCATAAATATAGTTCTTAATTTTATTATTTTAAAAATTCTATTTGTGGTTGAAATTTTTTAATAATTTATTTATAATGAATATTGTTTGTAATATTTAAATAATATATAAATGATTAGTTAAATGCACATAATGCTCAGTGGAAACAAGGAATTATTAGAAAAGATTCATTTAGGAGAGAAATATAAAAGATTTGAGCCCGAATAAATATTTTCTAATTTAATTTGGAATGTACTTTTTATTTGGAAATTTAGTCCCTATGTACTTTTAAATCGTTTTTTGTCGATCGTAACCCTGGTTTAAAATAAAAATTTTTTAAAATTAATTAATATTTGTTTTTAAAAATGTTTTCTAGTCATCATCATCATCCTCAACAGCAGCACCCCCATCGCCATCACCATTCTGGGCCTTCCAGAATGCCCGTGAGCGTGAAGTGGCCGCTGCAACATCGGCGCTCCGGGCTTCTGGAAGGCCCCCAGCTTCAAGGGCTGTATCTCCACGCTTGCGTGGCCGTATTGGAAGAACTCCACCTCTTGGAGTATATGTCAATCCAGAGGCCGTTCAAAATAACGGTTAGTTTTCTAGTTGTGAAGTTGTCTTTAGGTAGGGGGGTATTGATTTTAGGGAGGGGTACTAGTTTAATTCTAACCTAGCAAAAAAATTTAATTTAGTGAGAGCTGTCATCGATGACGATGATGATGATGACGTAGAAGTTGTTGAAGTGACTCCACCCCGCAGACCTGCATATTTTTTCCGTGAAAATGGTTTGGAGTTGGAGGTCCCTGAGGATGATGAGGATAATGAGGGTTTAGGAGCGCGAGAGGTAAAAAAATTTGAATTACATGTGGTAACGCTCCCTCCTCATTTTGACGCCCAAGAAGAAGAATGCTTTTGCCAGGAGCCTTTTGCAGGCACCCGAGTTGTTTTTATGGCATGCCTCCACAAAATGCATTATAATTGTTTTGTTCAGTGGGCGCAAGGCTCGCGTGTGTGCCCGTATTGCCGCCGTGACATGCTTCATGGCGCGGCGGTTGATGGGCGCGCACGCGATGGGCAGGGATCCTCAGCCAATACTTAATACTAAAATTATTACTTTTTAAAATTAAGGCAAGAGGATCCCTGTTTTATTTGCTAATGTTATTTATACTTAGTTTTTGTTACTTTATTAATATTTCGCCCACAATCCTGTTTGAGTCTCAGATTAATTTTTTTTCATGCCTCGGAATGGTCAGATTTCCTTCTTTATAAATGATAAATTTTTCCGCTAGACCGATTTTTGCCGCCGAAGGCTATTTTTTCCTTCCTAATACTTGCTCTTTACCAGTAATGTTTTAAGGAAAAATGATTGACATTAAAGACAGCAAAATCTGAGACTCAAATAAGGGTGGGGGCGGGATATTAATAAAGTACCTAGTTTATTTTTTTTTTAACTTGTCTGCCTTAATACTTTTAAAATGTCTTAATATTATTTTAAATACATGCCTTAATCTTTTAAATAAGTTAATTTTCATAGAATTATTTTAAATATATGCCTTTTTTTACTATTAAATAATTATAAACCATATTATACCTACATTTTTTATTAAATAAATAAAATTGTTTTTATAAGAATAAATCAAATGATGATTTGTTTTGAAAATGGGCAATTAAGTAGTGTCGGGCTCCAGAACCCGTAATGACCAAAACACGGAATACTTTTAAAATCATATATTTAAAAAAAAAAAAAGAATTTATTTAAATAAGAATTTTAAATTCATTTATTTAAATCAGAATATTTTTAAAAATCAGAACATTTTTAAAATCAGAATTTTTTTAAAATCAACATTTAAAAATAATCCTGAAAAGTTTTTTAAAATTTTCTCTTGACTGTGTTTTGGTCGTTCCGTGTTTTGGTATGGTCCGTATTTTGGTCGTTCCTTGTTTTGTCGTTCCATGTTTTGTCCGTTCCGTGTTTTGGCATTCCTTCTTTTGCCCCTCACCCAATTAATTTAGTATTTAACTAATTTAAAGAGAGACCCTACAAATATTTAAAAATTTCTTTAATTTAAAAACATTATTGTATTCAATCTTATATGGGAATTTAAATTTTTTAATTATAGGTACAAATTCAACAAGAAATGAATAACGACCCATTTATAATCGAATCTGTACAGCAATTAAATTCAAGATCTCGAAATACCAGAGGGGAGGTCTGTAATGTGAGATTCAACCCTCTTGAAGAACATGCTCGGCCAGATTTAACAATGACAACGCTAATCACACGATTACTGGATCGGGTATTAGCTGGCCGGCCTCCACCGCTTCGAGTTGGGTTGCAACTACACCCGCCAGCATTTCACAACCCTTTCACGGTGCCGCTACGCCCACCAGCTCAGAATAATCCTGCAGCTTTGGCCGCAGCAATTGAACGTCTTAATGAGATGTCTCAAGCTGGAATTGACTTGCTGGCGGGCACCACTGTAACTAAGGTTGTTGCTGTTTGGCCTCTGAATGCCCAGTTGACAGACAGTCCAGCTGTTCATACAGGTGAGTAACAGTCTTGCTTTACATATTATTATTATTAACTATGTAAGGCGTTTCTGTTATTCAAGGTGCATGCAATGTTGATATAGAACACAACTTAACACTGCAATGCCGATCAATTGTCCAAGTGGTTAATCCAAATGACCGGTATTGTCTTGCACGTGCTGTGAACATAGGGCTCAAACGAATTAGATTGCTGGAGGTGAATGGCCCGCAACAACAGCAGCAATTTCGCTCTTTCTGCAGGCAACAAGAGCAACATTTAGAGGCAGCAGTAGAACTTATGCAGAATGCTGGTCTTCGACTTGATTTACAACATTATTCGCTCGACCATGTTACTGCCATTCAAAATTTTGTTAATCAAACAATTGGAGGGGAAATTCGAATTGTCGTTTTCCAAAAAGAACAACAATATCGGATTGTATTTAAAGGTAAGCCTGTTAAATTTTCCACAAAATTTTATTTATCTAAAGGTTCGGTCCGTGCTGCCAGGTTTAACATCTGCCTTCTGCTACAAAATAACCACTACAATTACATTGGAAGGCCAGAGCAGCTGTTTCGCGCTCATCGCTTTTGTATTGATTGTGAAAGGAGAGTAACTCGCTTATATCACTGGGCTGGTTGTAGTGTAGTTTGTAGACTCTGTATGCGAACAGGACCGGATTATCCATGTCAAATAATTGAGAGGATCCCGTGCAATGATTGTGGCTATGTGTTCCCTCAGCGGTCATGCTTTGATCATCATTTAACTAACCATCCCCCCGAGGAAATGACTGGGCCTCGATCACGACCATTTGCTTCAATTTGTCAATCGCGCCGAATTTGCACAAATTGTGGGCATGTAGTCTTTGGTCAACAACAACTACATAATTGTATAGCCCAACAACAACAACAACAACCGATACAACAACAGGCAGTTGAATGTAGTAAGTGTAAAGGACCTCATTTTCCTGAACAGCCTTGCTTTATTCAACCGCTTCCTATTGACCAAAATTATAACAATTATGAGGAAGCCAATCAAGAAGCAGAAACTGAAAATGAAGGACAAGAACAGGGACGAAGGAATAAAAATAAAAGGCAAAAATTAAGGCTGTGCTTTTTTGATGCCGAAACAAGCCAAGATCAACCTGTGCAAATAAGTTCAAACAACAATGGGTATAAACATATTCCTCTTCTAATAATCGCTGAAGTTATTTGTGAAAATTGCATTAAAGCGGGGATTGGAATTAATGAAATCGGTCAGCGCGCAACTGAATGTTTTTGTGGTAAACCATCAAATTATCAATGGCGAAAGTGGTGTTCACCTCCATTTAAAAATGCAACAGGAGACAACACAGAAGTTCCCTCTGCACTTTCTTATAATCCCCGTCGAATGTACTTTCACAGTTTCGACGACGAAGAGGAAAATCCTGTTGATCAATTCTTGGACTATCTTCTAAATGTAAAATTTAATTCTATTTCAAAATTTATAATATTATTTAGCATGGTTCACAAGATATTTTGACAATATGTATTGCCCACAACGGAGGGAAATATGACTTCCACCTAATTTTAGAAGCACTTCACAGGCGAAGTCTACCTCCAAAGTTTTTATGTACAACTGGTTTGAAGATTTATTCTATGGGGCTGAGTGGTAATCACCAAAGAAAACTACTCTTCAAAGACTCGTTAAATTATTTCATCTGTGAGCTTGATGCTCTTCCAAAAATATTCTCTTTACCAGAAGAAGTTGCAACAGTAAAGCCTTTCTTCCCCTACCTCTACGTAAAACGACAAAATTTACATAAGAGGATTCGGGGTTTGCCAGCGCTTCACTATTACCAACCTGATTTTAAAAAATTTGAGAAGAGAGCTAAATTAATTGAATGGCACCACCACCAACAACAACAAATAAATTCCGGTGTTAATTTCCAATTACGAGAACAATTAATTTTATATTGTGCCAACGACGTCGCGATCCTGCGTGAAAGTGTTCTTCGCTACAGACGTCTTATTGGGGAACATACACAGGGGCTTGACCCTTTTCAAGCAGCTTCTACTGCCGCAGGACTTGCCTTAACAACTATGCGCCGTTGTTTTCTTCCAAAGAACTGGCTAGTTCACTCTCCCGAAGGTGGTTATTTAAGAGGAAGAAGAGCTTCAGCAGAATCGCAGCGTTATATTCGTCTATTCGAATTGGAGAATGAAGAAGCTCGAGGGAAGGTGCAATGTGCTCAATGGGCAGTTGGAGAGGCTCATGTGGAAGATTGTGGTTATCGTCTCGATGGTCTCTGGTTTCGGTCCCCACCACTTAGACCGTTGGCAATTGAATATATGGGGTGTTACTATCATGGTATTTTATATTTAAAAAATTTTAGTTTAATTAGAAAATTAAAATTCAGGATGCCCCCGATGCTTCCCAATACGAGACCAACGTTTGGCTGCAGGCCGTACCGCTGAAGAACTTTATGAGCGTACCCAAAATCGCCTTTGCGAGTTGGAGCAACAACATGGATATTCTCTACATGTTGTTTGGGGACACGAAATGAAAGATCGTCTTCGTAACAACCCCCAACTTAAGCGTAAATGGGATGAAATTGATTGTGTGAAGCCTATGGATCCTAGAAATGACTGCCTGAGGGGAGGCCGCACTGAACCATTCAAACTCCATCATGAATGTGCAGCAGATGAGGAGATTCTCTACATTGATATAGTACTTTACTGCTTTTTAAAATTTTATTATAATTATTCTTAAGGTGAGTCTATACCCATATGTGATGAAGACATGTTCGTTTCCAATCGGAAACCCTCGAGTGTTAACAAGAGAAGTTCTTTTGTCTTCTACCCCGCTACCATGGACTTCTAAAGAACAAAACATCTATCAAGGATTGCTTCTAGTGAGAGTTTTGCCACCAACAACATTGAATGGACTACCACCTCTGCTCGCTTACAGAACATATGATGGAAGGTTAACTTTCCCCTTTTGTTCTACGTGTGCTAACAACAAACAACAAAGCCCTTGTCGACATGTGGATCGTCAACGATCTTGGGTTAGCGGGTACACACATGTTGAACTCAATCGGGCAATTGAACTGGGATATAAAGTCATCGATGTTCATGAGGTATTTAATAATTATTTTTTATTATTTAACGTCTAGGTTTGGCAATATGATCGATGGGACCAAGAACTCTTTCGACCATATGTCAACACCTTTATTTGTTTGAAACAGCAAGCAAGTGGCTGGCCTCAAGGATGCGAAAACCAGGTGGAACGTGACAACTACATTGCTGAATATGAACGGGTCGAAGGCATCAGAATGGACCCACAAAAAGTTGCCGTAAATCCTGGTCTTAGACTGATCGCTGTACGTTTATTTAACTACCAACAAAAATTTTTTTAATTTTTAAGAAAATTCTGGCGAATTCTCTTTGGGGTAAATTGGCACAACGTGTTGGTGGCACTGATGTTAAATACGCAAGAACACCTGTCGAATTTCATCAATTGCTAGAAGACCCTACAATTGAAACTCTCGACTTTGACCACGTTAGTGAATATATGGATAGGTGTGTTGTTCGTAAGAAGGAAGAATTCGCCAAGCCACCTGAAACCAACTGCCTACCAGTTGCTGCATTTGTAACTTCTTATGCGCGCCTACATTTATATCGATACATGGAAGAAGTTCAAAGGGTTGGTGGGCGCTTACTCTACTGCGATACTGACTCTCTCATATACGTCGCAAAACTTTGTGGAGAACGCGTGGCTGAGGGAGAGGCTCTAGGCCAAATGAAACGTGAACATCCAGAAAGACGAATAATTGAGTTTCTAGCTGGAGGGCCAAAGAATTATGGGTACCGACATGTTGATGCTTCAACTGGCAATGATGAACGGGCAGAGCTAAAGATCCGCTCTTTTCCACTATCGTATGCTACACATCAAATGCTTAACTTCCAGTCAATGAAAGAACTCGTACTTGGGCAATTTAATATTGATGGAGAAATGTAAGGGAAAAAATT